CCTGAGGCCCTCACCAGATGCAGACACCAAATCTTAAACTTTCCAGCTATCAAATCATGAGCCAAATAACCCCTTTTTCCTTGTAAAGTATTCAGCCTCAGGCATTCCTTTATAGCAGCATAAAATGGATAAAGACATTTTGTTCACCTGGATTGCCCTGATGTGTAAGGCTCTGGGCTCATTCTCCTCTACCAGGTGCTACAGGAAGGGGTCCTCCAGGCTCTTGCATGGTCTCTGTCTTAGTTATTAATTGCTGAGAAGCAAATTCTCCCCGAACTTAGTAGTTTAGAACAATAGGTACTTTTTACCTTACAGTTTCTCTGGTTCAGGAGCCTGGCTGTGGCTTAGCTAGATGTTTCTGACTTAGAGCTTCATATGGCTGCAGTCTAGGTATTGCAAGGTGTTGGCTGGGGCTCAGTCATCTAAAAGCTTGAGAAGGATTGTAGAATCTGCTTCCCAGCCCTCTCACAGATAGCTTTTGTGAGAATTCCGTTCTTCACAAGAGGTTGGACTAAGGGCCCCAGTCCCTCACTGACTGTTGCGCAGAAGCCTCCCTCAGGCCCTTGCCACATAGATCTGTCCCCAGGGCAGCTAACAACATGAAAGTTGTCTTCTCTCAAAACAACTTATTGAGAGAGGAAGCACTCAAGATGGAAGCCAGTATTTTTGTCATCTAGTCTTGGATGTGACATCCCGTTACTTTTGCCATTTTGCCTAGTGACTCATATTTTTGAAATGAGTCCCTAGGTTCAGCCCACATTCAAGTGAAGAAGATTGCAAATGGACAGAAATACCAGGAGGTGCAGATAACTGGGGTCACCTTAGAAGCTGCCCACCACAGGCACCCCTGTCTTCTCACTCTCTTCCTTCTCTCTAGACCATCACACACACATGGAGGCTTTAATTACCAGCCACATGTAAAAGGGAGTGTGGCTATTCACAAACCTGTATTTTCAGCCCAGACCTTCTCTCTGACATCTGGACTCATAGCTAATGGATCAATTGCTATTTCACTTAGATTTCTCAAAACCTTCTCAAATGCAACACACCCCAAACTGCACTCAAGTCAGGTCTTGTTCCACTGTTCCCTAAGTATGAGTTATGGTACAGGGTAAGATATGAGGCAGAGAGACAGTGCTTTAAAAACAGTTATTTTTCTTTCTTCCCACCCCCTCCCTGAGATGGTGTCTCGCCCTTTCACCCAGGCTGTAGTGCAATGGTGTGATCTTGGCTCACTGCAATCTCCACCTATTGGGTTCAAGTGATTCTCCTGCCTCAGTCTCTCAAGTAGCTGGGATGACAGGCATGTGCCACCATACCTGGCTAATTTTTTGTATCTTTAGTAGAGATGGGGTTTCAGCATGTTGACCAGGCTGGTCTCGAACTCCTGACCTTGCAGTCTGCCCACCTCGGCCTCCCAAAGTGCTGGGATTACAGGGTGAGCCACCGCACCTGGCCTTTTCTTTCTGTTAATAAGCCAGAAGTTGTCGGGTGGCGCAGCTCTCCTGCACACAGTGTCCAGCTGCTCTGCTTCCCTGTGGATGTTGTCTTCATCTGCATGGTCAAAGCTGGCTTGCTAGCCACGTCCATGTTCCACCATATGAGAAAGGAAAGAGAAAGGATATAATGAGTAAGCAATTTCCTTTTTGAAAGAATGTGACCCAGAAGAAGCACATGTCACTTTGTTCATATCACACTGAGAAGGCTGCAGGTAGTTGTGAGGGAAGCCGGGACATCTACTCTCTAGCTGGGTAGTGTGTTCCCAGCTAACACTTGGATATTCTATTACTACCTTAGCCTAGTGTCCTAGTTTGTTTTGTGTTGCTATAACATAATGGCATGGACTGAGTATTTTATTTGAACAGAAATTTATTGGCTCACGGTTCTGGAGACTGGGAAATCCAGTGTCAAAGTGGTAGCGTCTGGGCAGGGATGTCATCCCATGGCAGAAGGTGGAAGGGCAAGAAGAACATAAGAGAGCAAGAGAAAGGAAGGGGGCTGGACTTATTCTTTTATTGGAAACCCACTCGCATGATGACTAACCCACTTTGAGGTCATAGAATTAATCCATTTATGAGCATTGATCTATCCAACGGCATTAATCCATCCATTACTCCATTCATGAGCCCTAATGACCTGATCACTTCTTCAAGTTCCCACCTCAACACTGTTGCATTGGGGATTACGTTTCCAACACATAAATTTTGCAAGACCCATTTAAACCATACCACAGGGTTTCCTGGAAAGCAGAGTCCAGAGCTGAAGGTTTCCAAATAGGAGTAACTAACAAGCAGAGTGAAGAAGGGAGAGAGAGAGCTCATACGAGGGTCCATATTAACTGACCGATCTATAGAAACAAGACATGAAGTTGTATAAACGGTTTCTGAGGACCAGACCCCTGGGAGAGAATGCAGGAAGAATTTCTCCAGTGGCTTCTCTCATTGGTCAAAACATTTTTCTGTGGGGTGCCGACTCTTTCACTTTTCTGGGTTTCCATGCAAAACATGGGCACCATGCCGGGCACAGTGATATCAGCAGAAGCCCACGTGGGAGATGAGAAGGGCATGGCAGGAGCCAGAGGGGAGGGAGCCATCAAACTCTGCCTGCTTTGGGTCCATCAGAGCCCTCCCAGAGCTGAAAAAAACAGGTAAGTGAGCCAGAGAAGATTGGAAGTGGCGTGTCAGAGGACTCTGTTGCAATCACTAAAGGAGAAAGGAGAAAGCAGATACTGGGGCTTGCTCACCAGTTCAGCCACACCGTATTCATTTAGTTCCAGCAAGTGAGAAGCCCTAGACACCCTGACATCTCCCTTTTCCTTATACCCGTACCCAGTCCAACATATTGCTCAAATCTACTTACTTCTCTGCATTTTGTCTACCACACTCTTCATCCCGGCCCCTATTGTCTCTCCTGGGGTTTAATGTTGCCTTCTTGGGCTCTGGTCCTCTTGCCCTCTTGCTCTCCTGTGTTCTCTTGCCCTTCCACCTTCTGCCATGGGATGACACAGCAAGAAGGCCCTGGCCGGAGGCTACCACTTTGACACTGGACTTCCCAGTCTCCAGAACCATAAGCCAATAAATTTCTATTCATATAAAATACCCGGTCCCTGCCATTCTGTGATAGCAACACGAAACAAACTAGGACACTAGGTTAAGGTGCTCGTCCTCTGTCCTATCCACATTCGGCATCCAGCCAGTGTGGTTTTCTGTGACACCAGCCGCATCCTGTCACCATGCCCTGCCAATGAAAACCGTTCAGCAGCTTTCCATTGCTTGGAGGATAAAGGCAAAACTCCTCGAGGTGTCCCACAAAGCCCGATGTGGTCTGGCTCTTTGTCTTCTCTTACAACACAGCCCTCATTGTCTCTGTTCCAGCCTCTGCTGCCTTCTTTCGGCCCCTGCCGCCTTCTTTCAGCTTCTGCCGTCTTCTTCCAGCATCTGTTGCCTTCTTCCAGCCCCTGCTGTCTTCTTCCAGCCCCTGCTGTCTTCTTCCAGCCTCTGCTGTCTTCTTTCATCCCCTGCTGTCTTCTTCCAGCCTCTGCTGCCTTCTTTCAGCCTCTGCAGCCTTCTTCCAGCCTCTGCTGCCTTCTTTCGGCCCCTGCTGCCTTCTTCCGACCTCTGCTGCCTTCTTCCAGCCTCTGCTGTCTTCTTTCAGCCCCTGCTGTCTTCTTCCAGCCTCTGCTGTCTTCTTTCAGCCTCTGTTGTCTCAAGCCCCCAGGCTCCGCAGGACCATCGTACACGCTCTGCCCAGTGCTTGCTGCAATTGTTTGTCACGCTTTTCACCTTTCTGCCTTCTTATCCTGTAGCTCTCAGCACTGTTACCATTTTCTTAGGAACATCTTCCCAAATTTTTGTGACCTATTATATGTGTATCTGTTCTTGGATTCTCCAACAGGCTGGCTAAACAGCTATTTCAGGCATTAGAGAAATGGGGTCACTCCTGATTTTTCATCACATGCTATTTGATTCCTTTTAGCATAAAATAGTTTCAAAGACGACATTATGGGAAAAATAAGCCTTTTGGGGGTTTCCTTACACTTATCTTTAAATCGTTTGTTTTCATTTAAAATAGGTTATGGAGGGGGCCATGATTTTTTTTTCAGTCCTTTAAAGTCTCTGAAAGTCAGACTCTAAAAATCCCGTCTGTGGACATAAGTCTCCTTGTAACACTTTGCACAGTTACAGCTCTACTGCTTTACCTCATTCTTTAGTAGATGCCTCTCTCCCTGACAAGGCTCTGTCTTTCCAGGGCAGAGTCCTGGGCGTGGATTTGATTTACCATGGAGCTTAGCATAGGGTCCCCTAGAGAGGAAGGACTCAGTGGACATTTTTTGAGTGATTCACAGAGCTCTGAAGCCCCAGATCTGGCTCGGTCACTAATTACTGTGTCCGCTTCACTAATTAGCGATGTCTATTCCAACCTGTGTGTGCTGAAGTTCCCGTCTTACCAGAATGGTTGCTACCTGAGAAACAGGAAAATGTATTTCCAGAAAGAGGGAAGGGAAAATATACACACATAATTTAACAGACCTCACTAGTTAAGTCTGCGGGTGACCTTTAGGGTCTCGGGGCTGACACTGGAATAACTGGGAGTGCTCATGGATAAAGAATATCTCCATAGACACCTTCTGACTTGGGCCAGCTCAACTGTATAGCCACCCTTTTCCCCATGCTAAAATTAGTGAGTGTATCAAAAGAGAGTTCAGTGCAAAGTTCATTGAGATAAAAGATTCAGATAAGGGGCTCAGCAAAGAAACAGGTGAAAGGGCACCTAAGAAATGCTCAGTAAATGTGTTTAGTGGTGGGTGATGAGTGGAAGCTGGGCTCGCTGTCCTGAGAGTAACCACAAGGTGGCGCCAGGTGCTCAGCAATGAGATTCTGCCTCTGGGGACTTGACTCAACTTTTTCTTATCAATGTCAGCTTATTTAAAGAAAAAAAAAGGCAGTTTTTTTTCCTAGTCCATAGTTTTCCTTAATAAAACAGGGTAACATTTTCTCTTTCATTTGTTATCTTTACAGAGTGACATGCTTGAGAAGAGTGATGAATAATATTGAGGATGATTCAACGTCTCTTGGTTTTACTCCTGCACCACCCAAAGAGAAAATAATAAGACAAGAACATTTCTTTTTCTATCTCAGTGTCATACTATGACATTGTATTATTACAGTGCAGTGTAACCGCATTTCAGAAGACCATGCGTAGCTCAAAACACTGAAGTAGGTGGGGAGGCCAAGGCCTTAATTCTCCAAGGAGACTGGACCGGTGCTGGGTTCTAGGGCGTGTTCAGCGTCAGAATCATCAGCGGGGTAAGTTCCTTTTGCTAAGGGTTCTTCTAGCCCCTGAGCCCTAAGGTTCTGGGGTAGACAATTCCGGATGCCACAGGGCCCTAGAAGAAGGAGAAAGGTTGGGCTTAGGTGGGCCCTCTGGGGTCTCAGTCTGCAGGGTCTGCCTCCCGGTGGCAGGGCTGGAAGCCAGCGCTGGGACTCCTGGAGCTCAGGGGGAGGTCAAGGCTGAGGAGCAGCCCATCTCCACCAGAGGTCAGCATTACAGAGACGTCCGAGGCACGGCAGCCACACAGCCAGGCTCAGGAGGCAGCTCCGTGCTTGAGCGGGCTCAACCATGTCCAGTTCTTTCCTCCTCCCCGACCACCCTCAGGCCTCGGGCAGTCCTAAGAGTGGGAGATGCCGTAGCGCTAGTGTTGTTGCCTTCTTGGCAAGCGTAGATTGCGGCTGGATACCCGTGGACCCGCGGGACCCAGAAACTGATGGGTCATTCATCAGCTGAGCCCTGCAGCATCGGGGCAGCTACCACTCTGTGCTCACACCGAGCTGTGGACTATCCCACTGGCTTCCGTCAAAGCCTTGGGCAGGCGGGCGGTCACTTTCTACACTTCAAGGAACTAACGTGGTAAGTATCATTAAAGAAGAATAAGAAAAAAGTGCCGTGCATGGTGGCTCATGCCTATAATCCCAGTACTTCGGGAGGCTGAAGTGGATGGACTGCCTGACGTCAGGAGTTTGAGACCAGCCTGGCCAACATGGTGAAACCCCATCTCTGTTAAAAATCCAAAAAATTAGCTGAGCATGGTGGCGTGCGCCTCGAATCCCAGCTTACTCGGGAGGCTGAAGCAGGGAAATTGCTTCAGTCAGGGAGGTGGAGTTTGCAGTGAGCCCAGATTGATGGCACCACTGCACTCCAGCCTCCAGCCTGTGTGACAGAGCGAGACTCCGTCTCAAAAAAAAAAACAAGAAAAAAAATGACGTTACAAACTGTTTAAGATGAGGAACTGTCTACAGATCCTCAAACCAGCCCACCTAGATCTGAATCCCATCTACAGTCCTGAGAAATGGAAGGACTTTGACAAGTTTCTTATTGTTTCGCATCTCAGTTTCTGCATCTGTGAACTGGGGATATTATCACTCCCATTTATCACTATTGATCCTCTCTACGCATTGGGTTATTGTTGGGATTAAATGAGATGATTGT